TGGTTGAATTTTTCTTTATGAGAAATGATTGTGACATTTACCATTTCAGCTAGGGTGTGGTTTTTCAAGCAATGTGTATACACACATGTGTGTGCATGCACAAAGGTATATGCAAACACGCACACATGTGCCCAGAGGTTTTCCTTAAGGAAACTCTCTGTAGGAGGAATGGGCTGTGACTCACAATCAGAACATGGGGGAGAAAAGCACTCAGAGGCATTATCTCGCTTTCTTACTTTGGCTGATTGCACAATGCCATCTTCTAAGCCCTACTGGAGAGATCTGCAGATCAGAGAGGCAGAGACTTCTGAGAAAAACCGGCTCTCCCTTAGGCGTTGTCTATCCTGGGAATTTGCCAAGTAGTCGATGTCAGTTAGAGAGATAGCAACCCCACCAGTGGAACTTACCCCACCTTCAAGCAGGGGTAAAGTAGGCATTTGATATGGACAGGCTGGGGTATGCCAAGTAAAGGGGTGGTCAGGGCAGATCTGGGATCTAGGGCAAATTGTGGCTTTCCTGGTTATCCTTGGGATTGCAGCAACCTGGCTACCCCACGGCTGAAATTGGGGCAAACCTTCAGTACAGAAATGGCCTTTTGTTCCAGGTCTGCTCCAAACACCTTTGACCGGGTCTCGCCAGACTATGCATTGGCTTTTAAGAACTTCCCAGGGATTCTCTGCCATGTGAGGCAGCAGGTTAAGTGCTGGATAATTTCACAGTCAGATGCTATTTAAAACCCAGATGTCAGATCCTCCTTTCTCACCTCCACCCACCCACTGGCTCCTCTACTCTCGGCTGATGGATAATCAGCATTTATCCTGGGCTCACCTGTTTCTAGGACAGGACGACTGGATGGAGCTGGTAGGCCAGAACCTCACCTGTAACACGTAGTCCAGGGCCAGGTGTCGGAAGCACTTCCTGGTGATGGTCAAAGTGCCTGTCGCTTCCTCCACCTCGTGGGGCTTGTGCCGCGGGGCCTGCGCGTTCTTCACCAGAGAGATCTCCATGTCCTCGCGCACCTTGTCAAACTGTTTCTTCGTCTCCTTGAACTTCCGGACGTCACTGGAACCCAAAGGGGACGACCACCATTACAGGGCAGCCAGGACCACCAGGGAATCAGCATTGGAACGCAGCAGGGATCCCGGTGGCGTATGATCTCTCTAATGGCCAGACCCTGACCTCACACCGTATTCAGTGACCCCACTCAGCTCTGCCAAATCTGGGGCTGAAAGGAATTTCCCCCCAGCTCAGAATGGCAGGGACCTGGGGGGAGGGGCGCTGTGGCATGGGGCCTGGTTTGCCTGCTAGGATTATCTGGGCATCTCTCTTCTAATCCATTCCTTGGCACTGAAGGAGTCTCCTGTTCTGTGCCTGTGACACACAGTTTAGTCTCCTGAGGACTGAAATGTTGAGGACTAACTAAAGTCTTTGCGCTTCATATAGGTGTATCTGGATGAAATGTAATGGCCAGTGATAGACAGGAGGTCTCACTCATGGTCCCGTCTGGCCTTAAAGCTCCATGAAACGATGAATCAGAATCTGACCCAAAACATCTCCCTCTGGATGCAAAGAATAACTGCACTTTAAAGGGGCCCCTTCAAAACAGTAAGAGGCGTCCCCAAGGCGTCCTCCAGCAACCCGCACAATCCTAACGATGCTCTCCAGCTGCCTTGCAATGAGACTGGGATGTTTCATAACATGCACTATAAGAAACAGTCAAATTATATGTCACCAAACATACTGTACTGGAGCCTATGAAAATACCACAAATCAGCCGGTTCTCATGTTTAAAATTCACTGCCGAGCCAAGTGCACTTTGCCCATTGGCATGTCTCTTCTGACCTGCCTGCAAGTTGGGTTTGTTGATTTGAAGAGTTAGACTTAGAAGTTTCAATTTTTTCCATCTTTTTTGTACTCTTGTAACCGGCACATTTATTTGTTTAGTGTGCCAGATGGGAGATACTGGATCCATAAAGGGTGGAGAGGAAACAAAGTGACTCGCCCAAGGTCACACAGCAAATCAGTGGCAGAGCCAGTAATTAGCACCCAAGTTTTCTAAGTTCTGTTCCAGTCCAGTACCCTTTGTACTGGCCAACCCTGCCTCCTGCTGGGCACAGGGCAAGCTCACTACCTTGTGTTCAAGTACTTCCGTGTCCTGACACATCTCAGGTATGGCATTACCCAGCATAGTTCACGTTGAAATGCTGGCTTGTTTACAATAATTACACACATTAGATGCTTACACAAATGCATTTGTGTTTCAATGCCCTGCAAACACAGGAATCACTTTACCCATCGCTGAAATACAGTCACTTCTGAGATGGGAAACGGCCCCTGTTCCACACTGCTCAGCAACACAAGCCTTTAGGCCAGGAGGGGAAGGAAAATACTATAACCAGCAGAAACTGCCCTCATTTGGATTTTGGTTCCTGCCAAAAGTACCAAGCGGCCTTAAAAACACCTTCAACTTGAAATCTAGTCAATTAAATAAAAATAGTGACCACCCTTGCCCCTGCAGCCCCACCCCCACCACAACAACATTTATAAGCTTTTCCTAATTCTCGAAAAGTCATCCCCCACCCTTGCTTTAAGAAAGACAGACATAAAAACCAGGAGAAACTGACTGCATATACAGGGGAAACAGGGAAGTCTCCTCCAGACTGGAGCTACAGTCTATGAGCAGAGGAGAACTACTGAGGCAGAGCAGAAGCGCCAGCAGCATAAATCTCGCAACAGCAGCATGTCCGCTGTTAATCAAGTAACCCATAGCGCCACAGACTGTTCAAAGCTCAAACTGGCCTGAGCAGCCACGCACGTGTTCACAGAAACCAAACCAATCAGTGAGGACACAGTCATCTTCAAACTCCAAGGATGGACAACAACAGGGCCTCAACTTCACGCTTCTCTGCCCCTCACGTTGGAAGGGCTCACGATGACATCCACGCACAAACACGGCCTGCGCCCGTCCCCTCTCGCTCTGTGACACGTAAACACGCGCGCGCACGCTCCTCTGTTGAATTTCAAGTGCCACAAACTTCACCATGAAAACAATCCCTTCCTGAGCTTAAAAATATCCCCTCGGCCTCTATTATTACCCCTGCTGGGCTCTGGCCAGTGGGCTTGGCGTGGCCAAGTGGCACGGGATCTCACCAGCCCAACAGCTGGCGTCAGGCTTTCTACTCAGCTATTAATATGGCTGCCAACAAGCTCCCTCCTGAGCCAATGCTAAAAATGAATGGCGTGGCTTCCGCTCCCCCCCCTCCTCCCCAGGATGCTTAGCAAAGGAGAGAGGGAGGGGAGAGTGGCCACTGTCTCTTTACCCCGCCCTCACCCACCTGAACAGGTAATAAGCCACATGGACTCTGAGGTTCCAGCTACAGACTTCCAAGTGGCCCGGCAGAGGGTGGAGGAGTTGGACCCATTTGGCATGAGAGCTGTGGCAGCCGGAGAAGGGCTGCTGGCATTGCACGGAGCGGGGCCTGGCAGGAGAGGAAGCATTTCTCAGGGCTTTTTGAGTTGGGAGTGGGGAAATCAGGTGATTTTTCCGAATTTGCAGCAAGGGTGTCACTGCCAGGCAACCCATAGCCGGCCTTCTGAAGAGCTACTGGCCCTTCAACGTCTATGCACATTAGAAAGGGGTAGGAGTCCATGGGAGGGTGTACAGGCGGGGCACGCTAGAGCCTAGAGCCTGTAGGTAATCAAGGAGGCCTTGCTTTGCCCCACCGCACCCCAGGGCTGGGCTATTTAAAGAGGAACAGGAAACAGAGCAGGAGAAAGGAGCAGAAGCTCTGCAGGCTGCAATGGGCAGGGTGTCTTGCTCAGGCTGAAGAAAACCAGCCAGCGACGTGCTTTGGTGGAGTTTAAGTTGGGGAGCTCTGAACCAGGGTCCTGATGAACTATCTATTGTCATCACTCCTGTCCTGAAACCTTATTAAAAGGGGACATGCTCTTTGGTGAGTGTGTGTTGGCGTCTCCTTGAACCATGCTGTTAAAGCGAACTGATTGCTGCCCCAATTGGGGGGAATTAAGAGGTGGCACACCCTCAGCACCACACCAGGCAGGTAAGGGGGTCAGTGGGGGTGGCCCAAGCCTTTACAGAGAAGTGGAACCGGAGATGGTCTTTCAGCTGGAGGGCTCACAGATGGCTGGTGTTTTGCCTTCTTATTTACTTCCCAGAAACCCCTGATTCTCTTGCCAGCCCTGTCTTGGGACAATATTTCTGTTCAGCTGAGGCTTCTTGCAGCCCCTGACTACGTAGCAGTGCGCCCCTTCCACCGCTTCCTTCCCAGCATCAGATCACACACGAGGCTGGATCCACTCCGCTCCCGCTGGGAGGCTATTGATGAGGAGAGAAGGGTGAAATCTCTGGCCTGCAGAGCCAAAATATGAGGTCGGGGATGGTGGAGGGCCACAGAAGGTCATTCCCTTTCCTAGCACATCACAAGGCTTTTGACAAACTAAGGCTAAGTCCAACTTAGCAAGGTCTCTCCGCGGGACATGGCGTGCAGGGAGATGAGACAGGCTAAGGTTTGGGTGACGGGACTGAAAGCATTTCACCTCTCGGTACACGGCTGCACCGCAGCTGGAGTGAGCCTTCCAGCCCATGGACGCAGACATGCTCCAGCGCCGCTTGAGCTAGTGTGCTAAAATTGGCAGTGTGGACGTTGCAGCGTGGGCTCACCACCCGAGTACGGATGCAGGGCGGTGGGCCGGAGCATACTCAGGTGGTTAGCCCACGTCACAATGTCCACACGGCTACCTGGGTTGGGAGGCACGCTCCCTCCTGCAATGTAAACATACCCTAGGTCGGTGGTTCTCAACCAGGGGTACGTGCACCCCTGGGGGTACGCAGAGGTCTTCCTGGGGGGACATGAACTCATCTAGATATTTACCTAGTTTAGTGTTTCTGAACCCAGGAGTCACGGGACAGGTTTGGGGGGGATCGCAAGTGCAGGGCCAGCAGTACTAAAAAACTCTCCTCTCGTCCCAAGGGCTGGCCCCTCCATGTGGAGATGGAGGCACATGAGTGGGGCAGGACTCGCCCTGCCACTGTCCGTGCTGAGCCTGACCCCTGGATAAACAGAGGCTCCATGGCTGTCAAGCCAGCCCCGAGTGCAATCACACAGCAATGTCAAGGGGTGAGAAGGGCTAGCTGCAGGCTGTGTATAAAACTCTTCCTTTTCACAGCCAGGACACTGCCGACGGGGTCCTGGGGG